TGGACATTTGCAGATTGAGACAGTAGAGGGCAGCAGATCCCTAAATATGTATACTCTATATATATTGTGACAATGTGAGGCCCTGCCGCTGTGTAGAAGTAGGCAAAAATGATACAAGGTTCTCATGAATGAAGAGTGAGGGGCTCTGGAATATCAGTTCTGTGTGGAGAAGACTGGCTTTTTCAGTTTCTACAGGTTTCATATTTCTCAGATTGGGTTCTGGAATTCAAACACTTCAAAGAGTCTTGGGTGGGATGAAGCCTTTAATCCAGCATCCAGATCTTGCTTATAATCAGAGTTTTGCCTGACAGCAGCTGAGGGCTCTCGTAAGGAGACAAGGGAGCTCAACTCAGGAGACAATGCTCCATGCTGGAATCAGAAGTTTCTGTGTCTAGAGGACTGAGAGAGTTGAAATGATTGAGGGAGTCCAGAGGTCTGAAAGAGTCAAGATGACTGAGCAGGTCCAGAGGTCTGAGAGAGTCAAGATGACTGGGGGAGTCTAGAGTTCTGAGAAAGTTGAGATGGCTGAGGGAGTCGAGAGGTCAGAGAGATTTGAAAGGACTGAATGAGTCCAGAGGTCTGAGAGAGTTGCTACAACTGAGCGGGTCCAGAGGTCTGAGAGAGTCAAGACGACTGAGCGAGTCAAGAGGTCTGAGAGAGTCAAGACAACTGAGGGGGTACAGAGATCTGTGAGAGTCCAGACAACTGAGCGAGTCCAGTGGTCTGAGATAGTCTAAATGACTGAATGAGTCCAGAGATCTGAGAGAGTGGAGACAAGTGAATGAGTTCAGAGGTCTAAAAGAGTCAAGATGACTGAGCGAGTCGAGAAGTCTGGGAGGGTTGAGATGACTAAGCAAGTCCAAAGGTCTGAGCGAGTCAAGACATCTTAGGAAGTCCAGAGGTCTGAGAGAGACGAGACGGCTGAGCGAATCCAGAGGTCTGAGTGAGTTGAGGCGACTGAGCGAGTCCAGAGGTCAGAGAGTGTTGAGACGACGAGTAAGTCCAGAGGTCTGACAGAGTCGAGACGACTGTGTGAGTCCAGAGGTCTGAGTGAGTCGAGACATCTGAGGGAGTCCAGAGGTCTGAGTGAGTCGAGACATCTGAAGGGGTCCAGAGGTCTAAGTGAGCCGAAACGACTGAATTAATCCAGAGGTCTGGGTGATCAAGACAACTAAATAAATCGAGAGGTCTGTGAGATTTGAGATGACTGAGTGAGTCCAGAGATCTGAGAGTGTCAAGATGACTGAGGAGGTCTAGAGATATGAGAGAGTCCAGACGACTGAACGAGTCCAGAGGTCTGAGAGAGTCAAAATGACTGAATGGGTCCAGAGGTCTGAGTGAGGCGAGACGACTGAATGAGTCCAGAGGAACTTAGAAGACTAAGAAGACTGAGAATGCTGGGAGAGATGGGAGATCTGAGGCACATGAACTGTGTAAGATGGTCTGAGGGACCCAAGCTGAGGCCTGAGTCTAAGACCTAAGCAGTGGTGCTGCAGGAGAGATGCAGGAGGCTGAGAATCATTTATTTTTGTGTAAGTGAAATGATGGTGGAAACCTCTATGTGGGAAATCCTGATGTAAGTAACTTTCCTATATTTTTAAATAAAAGTGGGCCACCCTCTCTATTTGTATTGTTTACCATGATCAAAAATGAAAGTAAAATGAAAATCTCACATTTTGGGTTGTTATCAGACCAGTAGTAAAGGGGAAATCCTCCAATGGGGACACAAGTTCTGGTGACACCCTGGGGCTCCCTTACTTTGGAGGGGTTTCCTCTCACTTCCTGTTTCAGCTATGGAACAGGAAGTGAAGAGAAATCTCCTCAATGGGACACGGATGGCAAAGAAAAACCTGACAAAGGGCTATAACCCTTCCTTACTCTATTCAAAATGGAAAAAAAAGTTTACTTACACTTTGACTTTCCCAGTATTAAAATATATACACACTATATTGCCCCAAGTATTGGGCCGCTGGCCTTTCCACACACATGACCTTTAATGGCCCCCCAGTCTTAGTCCGTAGGGCTCAATATTGAGTTGGCCCCCGCCCTTTCCACACACATGACCTTTAATGGCCTCCCAGTCTTAGTCCGTAGGGTTCAATATTGAGTTGGCCCCGCCCTTCCCACGCACATGACCTGTAATGGCCCCCCAGTCTTAGTCCATAGGGTTCAATATTGAGGTGGCCCCGCCCTTTCCACACACATGACCTTTAATGGCCCCCCAGTCTTAGTCCGTAGGGTTCAATATTGAGTTGGCCCCGCCCTTTGCAGCTATAACAGCTTCAACTCTTCTGGGAAGGCCGTCCACAAGGTTTAGGAGGGTGTCTATGGGAAGGTTGGACCATTCTTCCAGGAGCACATTTGTCAGGTCAGGCACTGATGTCGGGGGAGGAGGCCTGGCTCGCAGTCTCCACTCTAATTCATCCCAAAGGTGTTCTATGGGGTTGAGGTCAGGACTCTGTGCAGGACAGTCAAGTTCCTCCACCCCAAACTGGCTCCTCCATGTCTTTATGGACCTTGCTTTGTGCACTGGGGGCAGTCATGTTGGAACAGGAAGGGGCCATCCCCAAACTCTTCCCACAAGGTTGGGAGCATGACATTGTCCAAAATGTCGCCTTAAGAATTCCCTTCACTGGAACTAGGGGGCCAAGCCCAACCCCTGAAAAACAACCCCCACACCATAATCCCCCTCCACCAAACTTTACACTTGGCACAATGCAGTCAGGCAAGTACCTGTCAGGGCTCCCAGGTGTGACCAGAGGTGTGTGGCTGACGCAGGGGAACGCAGACTTCAGATATGTGATAAACAATACAATTTATTAACACTAACCATACAAACATAAACGCAGTGCAATACTAAACATAATACAGTGCAAACAAACCAAACCAAACCACCCACAGATAACAGTACATACAAGCAAGCGTCGTCAGGCAGGCCGGGTCAATATGAATTGGGCAGGTAGGTACAGGGGGAGCAAGCAGAGAATGGTCGGGGTCACAGGCCAGGTTCAGCAGGTAGCAAGCAGCGTAGTACAGAGGGTCAGGCAGAGGGATGGTCAGGGTCACAAGCCAGGGATCAGAACAGGTAGCAAGCAGGTAGCAAGCAGCGTAGTACAGAGGGTCAGGCAGAGGGACAGAAACAGGATGCAGGACAGATACAGGGCCCAGGACAAACACAACACCAAGGCAGCGTCTGTGGGTCTGGCCATCCCTTAAATACACCAGCATCATCAGTTCCAGGTGTTAGTTGGCTGAAAGGTTGAGTCTCTGATTGCTGGGAGCACCCGCTGGCCAGCCCTGGTACTGCAGATCAAAAGGCAGGTGAGTCCCACCATTGCTGGCCAGTCCATTCCTAACAGTACCCCCCCCCCCCAAGGAGCGGCCTCAGGACGCTCCAAACAGTCCTAGCTGGGCAAAATGTTCCACCCGCCCGGATCTGGTAACTGGCGGGATATCAAAGACTGGCACACCGGGCAGGACTCCGGGCAGAGGCACACCGGGCTGGACTCCGGGCAGAGGCACACCGGGCTGGACTCCGGGCAGAGGCACACCGGGCTGGACTCCGGGCAGAGGCACACCGGGCTGGACTCCGGGCAGAGGCACACCGGGCAGAGGCACACCGGGCAGAGGCACACCGGGCAGAGGCACACCGGGCTGGACTCCGGGCAGAGGCAGAGGCACACCGGGCTGGACTCCGGGCAGAGGCACACCGGGCTGGACTCCGGGCAGAGGCACACCGGGCTGGACTCCGGGCAGAGGCACACCGGGCTGGACTCCGGGCAGAGGCACACCGGGCTGGACTCCGGGCAGAGGCACACCGGGCAGAGGCACATCGGGCAGAGGCACATCGGGCAGAGGCACACATCGGGCAGGACTCGGGCAGAGCAGCACACCGGCAGAGGCACACCGGGCAGGGCACACCGGGCAGAGGCACATCGGGCAGAGGCACATCGGGCAGGACTCCGGGCAGAGGCACATCGGGCAGGACTCCGGGCAGAGGCACATCGGGCAGGACTCCGGGCAGAGGCACATCGGGCAGGACTCCGGGCAGAGGCACATCGGTTTACCAGACGAAGCAGCAGGCCACCAGGCGGAGCACCAGGCACCGGGCCCCCGGGCGGAGCAGCAGGCACCGGGCCCCCGGGCGGAGCAGCAGGCACCGGGCCCCCCCGGGCGGAGCAGCAGGCACCGGGCCCCCGGGCGGAGCAGCAGGCACCGGGCCCCCCGGGCGGGGCGACATTCATCGGGCCCCCGGGCGGAGCAGCAGGCACCGGGCCCCCCGGGCGGAGCAGCAGGCACCGGGCCCCCCCTGCGCGGGGCGACCCCGGGCCCCAGGGCGGGGCAGCAGGCACCGGGCCCCCGGGCGGAGCAGCAGGCACCGGGCCCCCGGCGGAGCAGCAGCAGGCACCGGGCCCCCGGGCGGAGCAGCAGGCAGGCACCGGGCCACCGGGCGGAGCAGCAGGCACCGGCCCCCGGGCGGGCGACCGGGCCCCCGGGCGGGGCAGCAGGCACCGGGCCCCCGGGCGGGGCGACAGGCATCGGGCCCCCGGGCGGGGGCAAGGCAGCAGGCACCGGGCCCCCGGCGGGGCAGCAGGCACCGGGCCCCCCAGGCGGGGCGACAGGCATCGTGCCCCCAGGCGGAGCGGCGGGTGCCGGACCCCCAGGCGAGAGCGGCGGGCGCCGGACCCCCAGGCGGAGCGCGGGCGCCGGACCCCCAGATTGGAGCGACAGGTCTCGGGCCCTCAGGCGGAGCGGCGGGCGCCCGGACCCCCAGGCGGAGCGACAGGTCTCGGGCCCTCAGGCGGAGCGGCGGGCGCCGGACCCCCAGGCTCAGGGCGGAGCGACAGGTCTCGGGCCCTCAGGCGAGCGGCGGGCGCCGGACCCCCAGATGGAGCGACAGGTCTCGGGCCCTCAGGCGGAGCGGCGGGCGCCGGACCCCCAGGTGGAGCGACAGGTCTCGGGCCCTCAGGCGGAGCGGCGGGCGCCGGACCCCCAGGCGGAGCGACAGGTCTCGGGCCCTCAGGCGGAGCGGCGGGCGCCGGACCCCCAGGAGGAGCGACAGGTCTCGGGCCCCTCAAGCGGAGCGGCGGGCGCCGGACCCCCAGGCGGAGCGACAGGTCTCGGACCCTCAGGCGGAGTGTGGCGGGCGCCGGACCCCCAGGCGGAACGACAGGTCTCAGGCCCCCAGGCGGGGCGGCGGGCACCGAGTCAGCAGGCACAACCGTGGGCTCCGAGTCAACTGGGATGACCGCTGGCACTGGGTCAGACATTGGATCGTCTGGCTGGACAGCGGGCATCGGGTCACCAGGCATCAGGTCATTTGGCTCGACAGCGGGCACCGCGTCATCTGGCAAGGCAGTGGGCTCCGAGTCAACAGGCACGACAGTGAGCACCGGGTCATCAGGTACCGGATTGTCTGGCTCGACAGCGGGCATCGGGTCACCAGGTATGACAGCGGGCACTGGGTCAGACATTGGATCGTCTGGCTGGACAGCGGGCACTGGGTCACCAGGCATCAGGTCATTTGGCTCGACAGCGGGCACCGGATCAGGTACCGGATCATCTGGATCAACAGCGGGCATCGAGTCAACTGGCCTAATAGGATCGTCAGGCTGGATCAGTTCATCATGCTGAGTAGAGGCTTCAGGCCGAGTAGAGGCTTCAGGCCGAGTAGAGGCATCAGGCCGAGTAGAGGAGGCATCAGGCCGAGTAGAGGCATCAGGCCGAAGAGAGGCATCAGGCTGAGTAGAGGCTTCAGGCCGAGTAGAGGATTCAGGCCGAGTAGAGGATTCAGGCTGAACCACGGAAGGCAGGCTCACCGGTTTGGATACTGGCAGGATGGTATTGGTTGGAAAGAATTTTCGCTTTTTTCTGGTTTTAACTACTGGAGCACTGCAAGTAAACGCAGGTCTGCAAACGAATGGAGCAGCTGGAGACAGAGAAGAGCTGGAGGATGGAACAGGAGAGGGAGCAGTTGCTACAGAGGGCTTTTTTACAGGGTTAAAGGCAGGATAGGTGCAGCGAGTGGGAACAGGGGACTGACATGCGGTAGATAGCAGGATATACTGGGCTGTAACTGGAGGAGCTGTTGGGAATACAGGAGTAGAGTTTTGAGGAAATAGATTAGAAGCAGGACTGGGTCTTTGTAAGCTGACTGAGGCTGGGTTGTAACAAGTCTGTCCATGTCTGCAGTATGGGTTGAACAAAGCTGAGCTTACACAAAGCCTGTCTGACCAATGACTGCACTGCGTTTATACAATCTCTTAGTGTCTGTGGTGAACATGCAGAATAACGCTCCAGAAAGTAACCCACATCATCCTCTAATAACCACACCAGGGACTCTACCTGGTCTGCACTAAATGGTGGCAAAAATTCATCCCTGCATTCGGGGGAACCAGATGAAACCAACTCAGCACAAACCTCAATCAAAGGCTGCACCTCAGAGAACTCTGTGCCCTGATCTACTAGAACATGAGCGAGCCGTATACATTCTAGCAGTTCATCCCGGGGATACTCCTTCAGAGTTTGATAAGCATATTCTCTGTCATCAAACACTAGCAGATATAAATATTCAACCTCATCCAGATCCATCCTTCCCAGCAACAAGCCAAGATGGCTTCCCTGTGCAGCCACTTCTGGTCAGGATTGGCCTTGGTGTAATGTCAGGGCTCCCAGGTGTGACCAGAGATGTGTGACTGACGCAGGGAAACGCAGACTTCAGATATGTGATAAACAATACAATTTATTAACACTAACCATACAAACATAAACACAGTGCAATACTAAACATAATACAGTGCAAACAATTCAAACCAAACCACCCACACAGATAACAGTATATACAAGCAAGCGTCGTCAGGCAGGCCGGGTCAATATCAATTGGGCAGGTAGGTACAGGGGGAGCAAGCAGAGAATGGTCGGGGTCACAGGCCAGGTTCAGCAGGTAGCAAGCAGCGTAGTACAGAGGGTCAGGCAGAGGGATGGTCAGGGTCACAAGCCAGAGATCAAAACAGGTAACAAGCAGCGTAGTACAGAGGGTCAGGCAGAGGGCCAGAAACAGGATGCAGGACAGATACAGGGCCCAGGACAAACACAACACCAAGGCAGAGTCTGTGGGTCTGGCCATCCCTTAAATACCCCATAGCATCATCAGTTTCCAGGTGTTAGCTGGCTGAAAGGTTGAGTCTCTGATTGCTGGGAGCACCCGCTGGCCAGCCCTGGTACTGCAGATCAAAAGGCAGGTGAGTCCCACCATTGCTGGCCAGTCCATTCCTAACAGTACCGTTCTCCTGACAACCGTCAAACCCAGACAGGTCCATCGGATTGCCAGACAGAGAAGTGTCATTGGTCACTCCAGAGAACACGCCTCCCCTGCTCTAGAGTCCAGTGGCGGCGTGCTTTACACCACGACATCCAAAGCTTTGCACTGCACTTGGTGATGGAAGGCTTGGGATGCAGCTGCTCGGCCATGGAAACCCATTCCATGAAGCTCTCTACGCACTGTTGTTGGGCTCATCTGAAGGCCACACCAAGTTTGGAGGTCTTTAGCTATTGACTCTGCAGACAGTTGGCGACTTCTGCGCACTGTACGCTTCAGCATGCGCTGACCCCCCGCCCTGTCATGTGACGTGGCCTACTACTTGGTGGCTGAGTGGCTGTTGTTCCCAGTGGCTTCCACTTTGTTATAATCCCACTAACAGTTGAGCGTGGAATATTTAGTAGCCAGGAAATGTCACGGATGGACTTATTGCCCAGGTGGCCACCTATCACGGGACCACGCTTGGAATCACTGAGCTCCTGAGAGCGACCCATTCTTTCACCAATGTCTGTAGAAAGCAGTCTGCATGCCTAGGGGCTTGATTGTATACACCTGTGTCCATGGAGGGGATTGGAGCACCTGAATCACATGATATGGAGGGGATTGGGACACCTGAATCACATGAATGGGAGGGGATTGGAACACCTGAATCACATGATATGGAGGGGATTGGAACACCTGAATCACATGATATGGAGGGGATTGGAACACCTGAATCACATGATACGGACGGGATTGGAACACCTGAACCTAATGATTTGGAGGGGATTGGAACACCTGAATCACATGATATGGAGGGGATTGGAACACCTGAATCACATGATATGGAGGGGATTGGAACACCTGAACCATAATAATTTGGAGGGTGGAGCTAATACTTTTGGCAATATCAGAAAAGAATGATATCAGAAAAAGAGATAGAGACACTCACAGATACAGTAAATGTATGCATATATTTTCATTAACCCAAACTCTCCGAATGGTCCTATAACACTCTCATGGGGCCCCCTACTGACCCCGGCCCTCGGGCAGTGCCCAAGTTTCCAAATGGCCCCTGCTTGAGCCCCATCCCCGAGCACCTGTTGAGGCCTGTTGAGGCCTAGTAGCAGTAGCTTCACTGGAACACACACACATGCCCCATCCCAGGGGGGGAAGCCCCAGGAGAAGAGCGCTCTGATCAGATCCTTCAAAATATTTATCTTCTCAGCCACACCTTCAGGGTCAGCCCCCCAGGGATTGGCTAAAGTCAGATAACTATTCACAATCCCGGTGATCGATCTTCCTACTCTATTGCTGGAATATTCTTCCAGTTGCAGACAGAAGCAATCAGACACCAGATTGAAGACCTGAGCAGACGTGAAAAATAAGTTGCATCTCGGCCGGCTACGGCAAAGCAGGATTACTAAATGTAGCCGGCCCCGGTCAGGGGTGCCACAAGCAATTTCCCGAGCCTGCACGGCTTTAAGGCCTGGTATGTTTGGGATCTATTTACTCGATGCAACCCAATCTTTTAGATTTTGCCCAATAAAATTGGGCATTTATAATGTGTTTGCATTAAAATTATTTTTTTTTGTTATTTTTTTTTGTTTTCTGTAAATATTTTTTGGCAGTTGATAAACAGTTGCGCAAATATTGTGCCGCCATTTACCTCCTCCAGGACCTCTGACTTCAGAAAATATACTGTTGTTTGGGGAGTTTAAAGTCATTTTGAAGCCCCAAAAAAAAAGAAAATGCATATTTTAAGGGTTTGTGAAAAAATAAAAAAACTACTTAAAGCCAACTGAGGGAGACTTAGGAATGATCCCTTGCAGTGGGGCTGCGGCTGCACTGACGTTACATGGCGGACCGTAGTCCGGACACGGACCGAGTGATGCTCCAGCTCAGATCTTCAGCCTGCCAGTCTGCAGCCGAATCCCCGCTGCACAGCAGTCATTGGTTGCTAGGACTGTCAGCCAATGACATCACATGTGTGCTCCACCCCCTGCAGCAAGCTTCTCCACCCAGCTCCTGCCCCCTGGCCTGCCTGACAACTGGGACATATGTGTCATGTACACCGAGACCTGTGATGGGCTCCACCAACCGATAGGTTACATGCTGGAGGGTCACAACTGATCTAGAAGGATAGTCTGATGGGCACACATAATGTAAAGGGGCACTCTGAATGGAAGACGTCCGGGGCACTCAAATGGGGACACCTGATGTAAAGGGGCACCCTACTGGGGATTCACTGATGGGGACACCTGCTGTAAGGGGGGCACTGTGATGGGGATACCAAATGTAAGGGGGCACTCTGATAGGGACACCTGATGTAAGGGGGCACACTGATGGGGAAACCTGATGTAAGGGGGACTGTGATGGGGACACCTGATGTAAGGAGGCACTCTGATGGGGACACCAGATGTAAGGGGGACTGTGATGGGGACACCAAATGTAAGGGGGCACTCTGATGGGGACACCTGATGTAAGGGGGCACACTGATGGGGAAACCTGATGTAAGGGGGCACACTGATGGGGAAACCTGATGTAAGGGGGACTGTGATGGGGACACCTGATGTAAGGGGGCACTCTGATGGGGACACCTGATGTAAGGGGCACTCTGATGTGATATCTGATGTAAGGGGGCACTCTGATGAGGACACCTGATGTAAGGGGGCACTCTGATGGGGACACCTGATGTAAGGGGGCACACTGATGGGGAAACCTGATGTAAGGGGGCACACTGATGGGGAAACCTGATGTAAGGGGGAGCGCTGATGGGGACACCTGATGTAAAGGGGTGCTTTAATTGGGACATCTGATGTAAGGGGGCACTCTGATGAGGACACCTGATGTAGAGGGGGACCCATGGGACACCTGATGTAAAGGGGTGCTTTAATGGGGACAGCTCATGTAAGGAGGCACTCTGATGGAGACACCAGATGTAAGGGGGACTGTGATGAGGACACCAAATGTAAGGGGGCACTCTGATTGGGACACCTGATGTAAGGGGGAGCGCTGATGGGGAAAACCTGATGTAAGGGGGAGCGCTGATGGGGACACCTGATGTAGAGGGGGTGCTTTAATTGGGACATCTGATGTAAGGGGGCACTCTGATGGTGATATCTGATGTAAGGGGGCACTCTGATGGAGACACCTGATGTAAAGGGGCACTCTGATGGGGACAATGATGTAGAGGGGGACTGTGATGGGGACACCTGATGTAAAGGGGCACTCTGATGGGGACAACTGATATAGAGGGGCACTCTGATGGAGACACCTAATGTAAAGGGGCACTCTGATGGGGACACCTGATATAAGGGGACACTCTGATGGGGACACCTGATGTAAAGGGGCACTCTGAAGAGGATATGTGATGTAAAGGGGCACTCTGATGAGAGACACCTAATGTAAAGGGGCACTCCCCGATGGGGACACCTGATGTAAGGGGCACTCTGATGGGGACCTCTTGTTGTAAGGGGGCACTCTGAAGAGGATATGTGATGTAAGGGGCACTCTGATGGGGATACCTGATGTAAAGGGGCACTCTGAAGAGGATATGTGATGTAAGGGGGCACTCTGATAAGCACACCTCTGATGGACCTCTTATAGTACTTAGGATTTGGACCTCAGCCGAACGAATGTTTTCACGCACAGACCTCCTTAAATTTCCATTCTATATCCCCGTTACACATCATCCATGATGTTTATTTCATGTTACTCGTTGGACTGCTCACCTCGCACCTCGCACCACCCCACCTC